AGAAAAAAACCCCCCCCCCCCCAAAAAAAAAAAAAAATAAAAGAAAAGACTTAGAGAATTTCATGTCTTGTGGGAAAGCAATACATAGTTGTTGCCTTCTATATAGTTCCATTAGTACTGGCTATTTTCAATTTGATTCTGGTAAAAAATTTGTTTATTCGTTTATCGACATTGTATCTAAATCTAGATAGCTTGGATTTTACTCACATTAATTTGACCTACAAGGTGCTCGTCTTGTGCAATCAACTAGACAAGCAATGTAATACAAGTGTTTCAGATTGACATTTCTATCTTTAATCAAATTCTTTGTAAAAATCATTTCATTCCATGCATGCAAAGGTAGAATTTAAATCTTGCAGTGTGATATGATGGTGTTGTCTAATATTCATTTTACAAATCCTTAATCTATTAAAAGGTTGGTTCTCACCGTTGTTGACATCATTTAAGTAGCTTCATAGATGCGCATAGATACAGTCGAAATGCTCCATTTTACATTATGGGTATTCACTTATATCTGACTTGCACTATATGTTATGCTCATGTTTCAAACTCTTCTATTGTATATTTACTTCTCTTTTTTATCTTCCAGATGCTTGCCTATAGCTTGTCTCCTCTCATTTTCCAGGCAAAAAAATTAGGGTTATTTTGATATTAACCCCACAAATCTTTAGTATTCTGATAATAGTCCATCAAATCATTGATACTGCTATTCGGTCCCCCAAATCCTCTAAATATTTGGAACAAGTCCCTCTTTTATAAAAACCAACCAAATCCATTAACCATGTTCGGGTTTGGGTTAACCATATTTTGATGTAAGTCCCTCGTTTCATTACCATATTACCCCCCAAAATAAAGTTTCCACTGAAACCTCACCACACCACACCACACCCCCCCTGCCTCAAAAAGGGAAAAAGGTTATTCCCTTCTCTTTCTTTACCCTCTCTCGCCACTATCTTTAGTTAGCTAGAGAAATGGGATACAACTGTAACATTGATCCAAAGCTAGCCCTCTTTTCTAACCTATCTATGAAGTATTTCCTGCTGTACAATGACTGAAAGGGAGAATGCATCAATTTGAAATCATAATCTGAGTTAAACAAGTGACTTTGAAAGCCTCCTTATCCTGCTAGGGGTTGTTGGAGAAGATGATTATATTGGGTTTAGGTTTGGATGAAATGGGTTAGAGTATTAATAAGTACAAGTTAAATGGATTACGGGTTTAGGTTTTGGTTTGCAACAAGTCACGAACATAACTGTCACACCCCTAGAAAAGTTAAAATTGAAGGGTAATATCAAAATACTAAGGAGCTAGGGAACTAATATTGAAATAACCCAAAAAGTTCATCACATCATTTTTATTTAAAGGAACTTTATTTAGAAAAATATGGGTTGCTTGCTCTTAAAGAACAAAGGAATAGGTATGCTCCGTACAAACCATGAGCACATGAGAAAGACGTGTATAGTTGTAAACATAAATATGTGTATATTTCTTTTTAACTGCATTCAGATGAGTAGATGAGATCATCATGAAACTAACCCATTATTCCTCTTGAAAAATAGGAAACACTTTTTTTCTTTTTTTCTTTTTGTAAATAAATTTGATCTGTATGGTCAGTCAACAAAGGACTGGCTAGATTTGGATTCTCCTTTTCTCGTCTGATTTTTCAAAGGTTGTGATTCAGAACTTAATTCTACTGTTATAGTACAAATGTGTGATTGGTAACCTCCCTTTTTTTTATTTATATGTTGGGGTTTCTACATATATAACCCTCATATCATCCATATTTTCAAATTTCACCCTACATCTCAATATTTGCAAATTTACCAATTCTACTTTGGATTTTTCTACTATCCACTTAACTCTGTTATAGAACATTCCTAGAATATTCTTTTTTCTGTTAAGTTGATAGAAATAACTACTAATAACTAAAACGCCCTCAACTGTTAATTAACACAGCATTCCATGGCTCCCCTTTTCCTAGTGGGAGCATATATTTGCTCCTCATTATCACAATCATCAGAGAACTCAGGACTATGTCTTAGAAAACCTAATGGCCTTTCCTCAAGGAATGAGGCAGCAAGTCCTAGTAAGGTCTTGCTATTTCTCATAGTTAGGTTGCATTCATGGTGGGCCCATATGCAAGGGTGTCTAAGTTTGGGAACTAGGAGGAGAGAGAGGAGGTTAATTGGGTCAAGAAGAGACTAGAGAGTATTTGGAAACGATGCGGGCAAGGAGATCGGGGTTGAGAGTGGTGAGACGAGATACAGAGAGAGGAAAGGGAGGTGAAAAAAGTCTAGAAGAGAAAGGGATGGGAGTATTTTTTGAGCCTAACAATGTTCCCAACCCAAAATCCATACTAACACGTTTCAATAACAGTAAATTTAATTGTAGATGTATTCAGTTGAAAGAGATCAATTACGAGCTTTATTGTTTGGGCCTAACAATATCCCCAACCTAAAAGCCATAGCAAAGCTTTCTTAATAACAGTAAGTTGTATTGTAGATGTAGTTAGTTGAGAGAGATCAATTAGGAGCTTTGCTTTTGATGCAGCTACTCATTGCTTTCTTTCCTGAACTCAGTTAAGAAAGATAATGAAATTGAGAGTTGGATGGAAAATGGATTATCAAGTCTGCATGATGTTTGGTTGTTGATTGTAAGTGGTTGTTAATAGTGACTTTTGTTGTAGATGTAAAGTGGAGAAGCGAATTTTGTCAATAGAGAGTGGAAGAAGGGGGAAGAAAATGATATAGGATATGAGAAGGGGGCTGATCTTTTTTGTAAATGGCATAAAGGCAAAAATGTATCTGAACTGTTAGATAAGTAA